CAAATTATCTACAAAATGGAAGGAAAGATACAAACCAGTCAAGAAAGTACAGGCTTAATAGGATAATGATATCGACAAAAAGGTCTCAAATGCAGAATGGGTAGAAGCATCAAGAACACATCAGCATCAGGCCCAACAGGCATAACATATCCACTAATAAAACATGCAAACGAGCGAACAAGAAAGGCCTTTAGAGTTCTGGCAAACAGGTACTTCGAGATGGGATCGATATCAAGAAAGTGGAAATTAGGAATACTATACCCAATACTGAAATGAGAAGACTGAAACTACAATCTCAATAATATCAGACCAATCCTACTATTTGAAATATTTAGAACGACGGTAGTAAGAATCCTAAACAACAGACTAGGCAAAATACTAAAAGAGAAAGAAGTTCTCAAAAGAAACTATGCAGGCCTACTAGAAGAAGGTACAGCAGGGCCAATTCATATCATAAACAATATTATAGAAGAAAAAACAAGAAGTTATGGTTGCTGTTCTAAGATATGAAGAAAGCATTTGACTCAGTAAACATAGAAATGCTTAAACTAGCATTTGGAAGAATCAAGCTACCGAAAACACAAAAGATTTTATAATTAACCTGTATGAGAACAGAAAAATAGAAGTAATTACAGGAGTAGGAGTGATGCAAAGATTCATAGCTAAGGACAGTATAGACCAAGGAGAGGCATCTCACCACTAGTATAAAAGATTTTTTACAATCCACTTTTGTTCCAAATACAAGCAGCAAAAGAAGTAGGTTACAAAATAGAGATAGCATGGCCCAAAGACCTCAAGTACAATAAAGTTGAAAAACAAAATATAAAGATCTCAGTGCTAGCATATGCAGATGATATAATATATATAGCAAGAAGCTGAGAAGAAATAGAGAAAATTACAAATATAGTAAAAGAATTCTTCGAAATTAATGATATCGAAATTAATACAAAAAAATCAGAACTATTAATAATATACCCCAAAGACAAGGTGGATGCAGAGAGAGATATAACATTTGGCCCAAAAGAGGAAATAGTTCAAAGAAGAAAACAGAAGAATTAACAAGATACCTAAGAATATGGGTATCAGAGAAGGCCAAACAAAAGCATATAGAAGAGATTATAAAGAAAGAAGTACAGACGGTAGTTAAAGGCCTCAAGAAGAAGAAAATTTCACTAGCATATATGCAGTATATTAACAACAGAGTACTAATACCAAGGGTAGAGTACAGGGCACAACAACATATACTACCAAGAGAAGTATGTGACAAACTACAAAGCCCACTCTTTATATTGATCAAGAACAAGTCAAGAATGATATATACAATGCCAAATATAGCAATAGTATACAAGAATATAGTTGGTATCAAAACTATATAGCAGAACCAGATTGCACACCATGTTACAGAACTCACAGCAAGACTTAACAA